ATAAAAGGGGACTTTTTGGAACTTTTTCGTCTTTCGACTGGTACTTTTTGAGTTTTCTATAAAATTTAACCTAGAAACATGAATTTAAGCATGTAGAGCCCAGAGTAAATGAGAATCTATAATAGGGGACTTTTTGGTACTTTTTCGTCCTTCGACTGGTACTTTTTGAGTTTTCTATAAAATTTAACCTAGAAACATGAAATTAAGCATGTAGAGCCCTTGGTAAATGAGAATCTATAAAAGGGGACTTTTTGGTACTTTTTCGTCCTTCGACTGGTACTTTTTGAGTTTTCTATAAAATTTAACCTAGAAACATGAAATTAAGCATGTAGAGCCCTTAGTAAATGAGAATCTATAAAAGGGGACTTTTTGGTACTTTTTCGTCTTTCGACTGGTACTTTTTGAGTTTTCTATAAAATTTAACCTAGAAACATGAAATTAAGCATGCAGAGGTCTTAGTTAATGAGAATCTATAAAAGGGGACTTTTTGGTACTTTTTCGTCCTTCGACTGGTACTTTTTGAGTTTTCTATAAAATTTAACCTAGAAACATAAAATTAAGCATGTAGAGCCCTTATTAAATGAGAATCTATAAAAGGCGACTATTTGGTACTTTTTCGTCTTTCGACTGGTACTTTTTGAGTTTTCTATAAAATTTAACCTAGAAACATGAAATTAAGCATGTAGAGCCCTTAGTAAATGAGAATCTATAAAAGGGGACTTTTTGGTACTTTTTCGTCTTTCGACTGGTACTTTTTGAATTTTCTATAATATTGATCCTAGAAGCATGAAATTAAGCATGTAGAGCCTGAAGTAAATGAGAATCTATAAAAGGGGACTTTTTGGTACTTTTTCGTCCTTCGACTGGTACTTTTTGAGTTTTCTATTAAATTGAACCTAGAAACATGAAAATAAGCATTTAGAGCCCGTAGTAAATGAGAATCTATAAAAGGGGACTTTTTGGTACTTTTTCGTTCTTCAAAAGGTACTTTATGAATTTTCTATAATATTGAAAATAGAAACATGAAAGTATGCATGTAGAGCCTGGATTAAGTGAGAAACTATAAAAGTTTTTGGTACTTTTTTGTTCTTCAAAAGGTACTTTTTGAATTTTCTATAATATTGAACCTAGAAACATGAAATTAAACATGTAGAGCCCGAATTAAGTGAGGACATATAAAAGGGGACTTTTTGGTACTTTTTCGTTCTTCAAAAGGTACTTTTTGAATTTTCTATAATATTGATCCTAGAAGCATGAAATTAAGCATGTAGAGCCTGGAGTAAATGAGAATCTATAAAAGGGGACTTTTTGGTACTTTTTCGTTCTTCAAAAGGTACTTTTTGAATTTTCTATAATATTGATCCTTGAAACGTGAAATTAAGCAAGTACAGCCAAGATTAAGTGATAACCTATAAAAGGGGACTTTTCGGCACTTTTTCGTTCTTCAAAAGGTACTTTTTGAATTTTCTATAATATTGAACCTAGAAAAATGAAATTAAGTACGTAGAGCCCGGAGTAAGTGAGAACATATTAAAGAGGACTTTTTGGTAATTTTTCGTTCTTCAAAAGGTACTTTTTGTGTTTTTTATAACATGAAATTAACCATGTGGAGCCCGGAGTTAATGAGAATCTATAAAAGGGGACCCTTTAGTAATTTTTCGTTCTTCAACTGGTACTTTTTTAATTTTCTATAATATTGAACTTAGGAACATGAAATTAAATAAAAGAGGTCTTTTGTTACTTTTTCGTACTTCATTGGTACTTTTTGAGTTTTCTAAAATATTGAATATATAAACATAAATTTAAATAGGGGACTTTTTGATATTGCAGATATATATACATTTACAATAATATTTATTTTATTTCATTACGATGAGGGTAGCGAAGCACACTGGGTATAGCTAGTATTATATAAAATTTATAGATTTATATTATAAATCTATGCTTCATTAATATTCGTTTTTTTTTTTTTCTTACGAAAAAATTAATCGCTGCAACTGTTCAAAAATTGTGTGAATAATGGTCGAATCATTTTATAAATATTTTTTTTATAAAAAAATCGATCGGTCGTAAGGGGAAAAATAATTTTTTGGAAAAAATATACTTTTGCTTATGAAAATGAAAAAAACCTATAAAAATATTAATGAAATATTAAATATGAAGCAAAATACTGTCGGTGATATTGTACAAAGGTAAAAATATGAAGGTCGCATTCATTTAAAGAAAAACGAGATAGCCGGAAAAGTTGACGGATATAGAAGAGTGTCTAAAACTTAGAAAAAGCAAGACAAATCCGCGTTAGGTACACCTAAAATTGTTTCTGAAGTGAAAGAGTAATTAATAAAGACTGTTTCAGAAACAACAATTCATCGAAAGATTTAAAGTCAGGGATATAATGGCCGAGTGTCTAGTAAGAAGCCTATAGTAAATAATAAGCATGGAACGTACTAACTAAATTTGTGAATGAACGTCTCAAAAAAGATTTAATTTGGTGGGACGACGTTATATTTCTTTGATAAGAGCGTATTTAATATATTTCAAGTGTCGGAAGAACAATGGTGTGTCGGAAACCAAATGAAGAGCTGAATGGAAAAAACGTCACAGTAAAACACGGAGGAGGATATGTGATGGTTTGGGGCTCTATATTATCAAATAGAGCCGGAAACCTAGCTTTTATCGACATTAACATGAACAAAGATTTGTATTTGACTGTTTTGAGGGGTAATTTAAAGCAATGAGCAGAAAATACGGAAATTGAATGAACATTTAAATTATACCAAGTTAACGACTCTAAACATCAAAGGCATCTTGTCCTTGAATAGTTGCTTTATAATTGTCCAAAAGTGATTGAAACACTAGCCCAATCTCCCAACATGAATTTCATATAAAATTTATGGAAGCATTTAGATTGGAAAAGTCCAATTTCTTTTAAAAATGAGCCCTAACAAAGACTGTAAGAAGAATGGGATAAAGTCAGGGTAGATTATTTAAAAATATTATCTCTAATATGCCAAATCGTCTATCTGAAGTTGTAAAAAATAATGGCTAGTCTACCTGATAATATTTTTATTTTTAAAATCATATTTTAAGAAATTATGTAACAAGTTAGAAAAAAACCGAATATTAATGAAGCATAAATTTATGTAATATTCCATGTTTTTAAATTTTTTTATTATATTTAATGGATGTATATAAAAAATTTGATATGTATAAAAAGCTCTTAATACATATGTACAACAATAAGTACAAAATATTTTTTTAAATACCTATTTTTTTTTTTTTTAAATTAAGAACAGAAAAAACGGAAATGTAAAAACCGAATATTAATAACACCCTGCCAGCAATTTTGTAGTCGACTACGAGAAAAATTCACTTCTAGTTTACTTTTACAGACTGACTATAAGCTAACTACAATGTAATGCAGAGCTGTCCCGAAATTTTGTATTTGGCAACGTAAAGAACCGACTTTTAAATACTAACTACAAGCTAACTATAATGTAATGCAGAAGTGCCTCAAAATTATCTGGAGAGAATTAATTGTATTTCAACATGTTTTCTCTTGTTTCTCTATTATTATGATTTTATTTGTTAACTTTAGTAGACTGACTATAAACGAGCAACAATGTAATGCAGAAATGTTCCAAAATTTGGTATTTATTAACGTAAACAACCGACTTTTAAAGACTAGCTACAAGCTAACTATCATATAATGCCGGAGTACCCCAAAATTATCTGGAGAGCATTTTGTTTCGACATGTTTTCTCATGTTTCTTTATTATTTGGAACTTTGTTTTACATTTTTGTCATTTTCTTGTATACGTTGTGAAATTAGAGTCAGTAAATTGGAAAAATTAATTATAAAAGGTTAAATATTTCAAAACTCGGTCCCTAAATTCTGCTGATTAATACTGTAAATATAATACATCAACAGTTAACATTACACATAACATTTTAAAATTTATTTTAGATTTGGGTCAATGGGAATCATGGAAATAATGAACAAATCATTCATAATTTTATGGATACCGGTGTTATTATTAGTTCCCCTGCAGAAAACTGATGTCTATTAATTTTAACGAACTAATATCATAACTTGTATTAAAGCGAAATATAATTTAGATAACTAGTAGTTAAATTTTAAATATATTAAATAAAATGTTATTAATTAATACAGTAGGGAATACAAAAGAAAACTATTACTTGACTTTTCTGAAACTAACTTTAAGTTAGTTAATAAAGAGTTACCTTTAAGCTAATTTTTTAGTAACTTACTTTAAGCTAGTTGAAAAGTCATGCAGAGTCGGACAATTGACTACTGCGTAGGACATCGCCATGTTAAAATAGTCAGTTGGCTCCATTAAGAATAATCCAAGAATCAACCATAACTAGTTGATGAAAAAGTCGGCTCTTAATGCATTTAAAGTTAGTTGAGTTGCTGGCAGGGCAGTCACTGTATTTACAATATTGTCACCTAAAAATCTCGTCGGATTTACTTAAGCATTTGACAGACTTTTCGTTCGGTTTTGACGTTACCTTAAGCTGTCTGATGCCATTATTGTGTGCAATTGGCATGTTTTTCGTTCAGTTTTAACATTAACTTAAGTCAGCTTAAGCGCCTTGGCGACACATCAAATTGTTTGACTCAAACGGCAAGTTTTTTGATTGTGTTAGTAAAAAAACTCACACTGCATATATACATGTGAGTTTTTTCACTAACACAATCAAAAAACTTACCGTTTGTGTCAAACAAATTTGATGTGTGGCCGTGTCGCTTAAGCAACTTTGTGTATACATACATACATACATACATACATACATACATACATACATACATACATACATACATACATACATACATACATACATACATACATACATACATACATACATACATACATACATACATACATACATACATACATACATACATACATACATACATACATATATAAATGTAAAATGTGCCAAATATAATGTACTTAATGAAATTATTCGTCAAGTTTCGTCATTATTACTTGTTATTTGCTTAAACAAAGTTCCAAAATTGTTAACATATTCCGTACGGAATCAGCAGTTTATTTATTGTATACACGGAAAATAAAACTAAAATGGAACAAGAATCCGTTTTTGTTTTAAATTTAATTGCGAATGTGGAAAAAAAGAAATGTCTCTACGACAAAAGTGATCCCTTTTACTTTAATAGGAGTATCAAGGACAAGACATGGAATGAAATAGGAGAAAATTGCAGCAAAAGTGGTATGTATACAATATATGTATACAATAAATTACAATTTTCGGCTATTAACTTCCATAACGTCATGAATTAAAGGAGAAGACTGCAAACACAAATGGAAATTGCTACGAGAACGTTTTTGTAAGGAGCTGAAAAAAATGGAAAACCTATCAGGTAGTATAATGTCCAATGGAGAATGGAAATTTATGCAGCCCATGTTATTTTTAAAGGATTTTCTCGCACCGCGACGGTAGGTATATAGTTGTAAGTAATATTAATTTTGTTCTTTTCTAAATAATTAAATTTTATTTTCTAGCTCTTATTATAATGTTAAGCAACAGGATATAGAAACAGACTTCGAACAAGCCACATGCAGTGGTGATAGCTTGTTGGAACCTCTAATGAGCATTCCAACCCCACCAAAGAAATCTATGCACACTCTAGATAGCCTCTGCCAAAAATTTGGTGAGACTATAGAGAATATTGAAAGAGGCTTAGCTGTGCCGATTGTGCAAAAGAAGGAGACAACAGATGAATCATTCATTAAAATAGTGCTATGTTTGATGCAGGACCTGCCAATAGATATAAAAGACGAGTTTCAAGCGGGCGTCATGCAGGAGTTATATCGTTTACGCAAGAATTGTAGAAATCTTAATATGTAAGCAGTCTATTTGACTTATTTTTTTTAGTTTTCGAAGGCAATGCTGATGTAAATATGTACATAAATCAAATGTACACGCGATGTTTGTATATTAGTTTTTAAGACTGTGATTAAATTAAAAATAATCTTCAAATGTTGTTTTTGACTGTTAGCTTTTGGTAATTTTTCTTTATATATAATCTTTAAAAATTTCAGTTATTGCAACATAATAATGCAAAATATGATTATGTATAACAAAATACGCATGTTAAGTTCCCTTTGTTTCAGATTTTTCTTTAATTTTTATCTCTATTCTTATTGCATGTTATATTTCCTTTTTATACCCTCCACCACCATCAGTGGTGATAGAGGGTATATATAAGTTTGTCGTTCCGTGTGTAACACCAAGAAATATTCATCTAAGACCCAACAAAGTATATATATTCTGGGTCCTTATGAAATTCTGAGTCGATTTAGCTATGCCCGTCTGTCTGTCTGTGTAAAACACGCTCACGTTAAAACTAAGCAAAGCAAATCAACCAAATTCACCCAAAATATTTATTATTATCCTAAGCAGTTTGGTATTGAAAATCAACAAAATCGGTTCACAACGTAAAAAGTTATGAGTAAAAATTTCAGACTACCTCGGAAAAAAATACGTTTTTTTTCTAATTTGGTCCACAATTGGTCATAGCTCCCATATACGGTCCACTTCCGTAAATCACCTAAACGCACATATTTCATTGATGAATAAAGCTATTGTGATGAAATTAGAGTTGGATATGTTTTGTGTACATACAAATCATTCTACCAAATTTTTTACGGATCGATCCATTATTGGTCATAGCTCCCATATAAGGCCCACTTCCGAAAATCACTGATGAAATTCGACTTGAATATGTTTTGTGTACGTACAAATCATTTTACAAAATTTTTTACGGATCGGTCCATTATAGGTCATAACTCCCATATAAGGCCCACTTACGAAAATCACTTAAAAGCACATATTTCATTATCAAATAAAGCTATCTTGATAAAATTCATGTTTTGTCCAAATATGAATTACTCTGCGAATTTTTCCCGAATAGGCCCATAATTGGTCATAGTTCCCATATAAGGTCCACTTCCGAAAATAACTTAAACGCATATATTTCATTAAATTCTATAGCTATGGGGATAAAATTCGACTTCAATAAGTTTTGTGTACATTTAAATCATTCTACAACTTTTTTCTCGGATCGGTCCAATGTTGGTCATAGCTCCCATATAAGGTCCACTTCTGAGAATCATTTAAACGCACATATTTTATTGTCAAATAAAGTTATCTTGAGAAAATTCGACACAAATTTGTTTTGTCTTTACATAAATCACTCTACGAAATTTTTTGCTGATAAGCATATAAAACATTCTACCAAATTTTTTCTGGATCGGTCCATATTTGGTAATAGCTCCTATATAAGGTCCACTTCAAAAAATCCCTTAAACGCACATATTTCATTATCAGATAAAGATATGTTGATAAAATATGATTTGAGTACATATGAATCACTCTGCGAAGTTTTTCCGGATAGGCCCCCTTAATTGCTCATAGCTCCTATATAAAGTCCACTTCCTAAAATCACCTAAACCACATATTTCATTGACTAATAAAGCTATTGGAGTAAAATTAGACTTGATCTTTTTCTGCATATAAATCATTATACGAAATTGCTTCCTGATCGGTCCATAATTGGTCACAACTCCTATATAAGGACCATTTCTGAAAATTATTTAAACACACATTTTATACATAGGTGTAAAATTTGACATAAATGTGTATTTTGTATATTAAACGGAATTTTTTCCGGACCGGTCCATAAGTTGTCTTAGCTCCCATATAAGGTTAACTTCTGAAAATCACTTAATACCACTTAATTCGTTATTAAATTATTATATCCGGATAAAATTCGGCATGAGTATGTTCTGTGTATAGATAAATCATTTTATTGAAATGTTTTCGAACTGGCGTATTAATATAAATTTTTCTGGATCTAATCAAAATTAGTTCAACAAAAATTTGGCAAGTTATCTAAAAATTAGATAGTTAGATGGGTTTCAATAAAAAGTAGCTTGCTGGTGGAGGGTATTTAAGATTCGGCATAGCCGAATATAGCACTCTAACTTGTTCAAATATCTGTTTTTACGCTAAAATAAGATAAGAATTTTCTCTCTTATTCTTATTGCATGTTATGTTTCCTTTTCCAAATGTCTTATCTTATTTTAGCGTAAAAACAGAAAAAATATAATTTTATGTACCAAATAGCATTCACTAAAAAAGCTGAGGAAAGGCGATTTTACTATCGTTATTTTTGAAAATTATTATAGCGAAAACCGCGAAAACGATATCATAAGCAAAGGTACCACTTAGTACGATAGAGGCCTATATGCATTTCTTCGGATTTGATGTATATTCATCCTCCTTTCAAACTAACTAACTATTAATTTTCATACTTTTGTACGAATTTTAGAAAAATTACCGTAATTTTATAAGATTAGTAGAAAATTTATTCACTTTGTACTTGAATTACGAACGGTATTTAAATTTGTTTAGTACATATTTTATAACATCGATATTCAAGGGTTAAATTTATTTTAGAGTGGCAACCATCAAGAAGCATACTCTGGTGGCAAGGTATATTTATTTTATATACCTTGCTCTGGTGGCAACGTTTTAAATTTATCTGACAGCTTTCACTTTAGAGAAAAAGTATCGGCAACATTGTAACCGGCATCATTTATTTTGTTATTTATTTTAACAACATAAAAATATTTTATAATAAAAGTTTAAAAATTGTAAGTTTTAACAATTTTAGGTGAGGGTTCCGACTCTGAATCCTCAGATGATAATAATAATAATACCATTATAGCAAATCCCAAAAAGGATGAAGTAGAGCAAATGGTGAAAGAGGTGAGTGATAGCATAGCTAAACTACCTATTACTAAGAAAAGACTTTCTGGAGCACAGAGGAGGAAGTTGAAAAAGATGCTTCAGGAAATCATAGTTAGTCAATCCCACGACACTCCAAAGGAATCGGACTCTCTCACAAGATCTGAGGCAAAAAGGATCAGGTCACCCGAGGAGTTGACAACTGAGAATAAGCCTAAGAAGAAAAAGAGCTCCCCGTCTTCTAATACACAGTCGAAGCCAAGCCATACTTCACTCAAAGGAATCTCAAGTGAGAATCCTGCGAGTAAGGGTGACAACGCCAAGCCAGATATTCCGAAGACGAACACGTCGGCGAAATCAACCTCGAAGGTAAGGGAATCTCAAAAGAAGCCCCGAAAAACGAGGAAGGAGAAGCTAGACGGAGGAAAAGGTAAAGAGCCGCCATCTTACGCCAAAGTTGCCAGAAGTAGGCACCGGGACGATCTCTGCTATGCAGTTTACGATGCCGGTAATCCGACAGGCAAAATTCCAATAGACCAACAGAGTAAAATAGAAGACCTGGTCAACAATAAGATAGTGGACCATGCAATAGCTTCAAAGGGCAAACAACCAATAGAGAGCGAGAGCTGCGAGTTCAGCATGGGCGTGATGTTGATGAGGTTGGCATCTCACCAATGTGTTAGCACCCTAAAGAACTTGGTGGAAAGTATCCCTCCTCCCTGGGACGGCGCTAGGCTGGGACTGGCAAAGAAGAGCGAGCTTCCGGTGCTCCTAAAGTCCACTGTCTACATAAAAGGATGGGGCAGTAAACTGGCTAATGAACGTATACTGGAAATTCTTGGAGGTCAAAATGCTGAGCTGGCCGTGGAAAAATGGGATGTCTTTTACAGGAAAGAAGAACCTGAGGGAACTTTATTTGTAATAGGTATCGACCAGAAATCCATGGCTAGTCTTGCCAAGAATAAAGGTAGGGCTTACTTCGCCTCTAAATCTGTCATATTCAAAATTGGGAAGGTGCCGATTGGAAGGGCTGTTACAACAAGCCTCGAAAAGGACACTAAAAAACCTAAGACCACAGTATCCACTACTGATAACGTTGAGGAGTCAAATCCTAAAATCGAGGAATTTACCATTAACTCGCCAGAAGAAAGTGTAGTTGCCCTTTCCAAAATTGGGAAGGCGCCGATTGAAAGGGCTGTCAAAACCGGCCCCGACAAGGACACTAAAACACCTAAGACAGTACCCAAAGCATCATTAGCAAGTACTAGCAATGTTGAGGAGTCAAATCCTAAAAGCGAGGAGGAAATCACTCACCCGCCAGAAGACAGAACAGCAATGCTCTCCAGAATTGGGAATGTGTCTATTAAAAATACTGCTATTCCTATGCCTGATAAGGACACCGCAGTGCCATCAACAGTACTCACTGCATTAATAGCCACTTCAGGCTATCCGGAGGAGTCAAATCCAAAGAGCGAGGAGGTGACCACCAACTCGCTGGAAGACAGTTTAATGGATGACCATGATTGAGGTTATCCAAATAAACCTCCATCGGAGCGAGACAGCTACCAACGCTCTGATGGCTAAAATCAACACAGGTAAAATACATATAGCTTTAATCCAGGAACCTTGGACGATTCGCAACAAGGTTTCTGGATTAAATCACGTAAATTTCCAACTTTTCTACGCTGATACAGGATCTCGCCCGAGAACATGTATCTTATGTCACAAGAACTTATGTTTTCTCCTCTCAACAGGATTATCAACATCGGATGCAACGGTGCTGAAGCAAGGTCGAGGCAACATATACCTTGCATCTATTTACCTGCCTTTCGATTCTCCGACCCTACCACCAACGTCGGATCTGATGAAACTGGTTGAAGAGGCACAAAGGAAAAATAAGAAAATTGTAATAGGTTGTGATGCCAACTCGCATCATGTAGCTTGGGGTAGTACAAACACCAATCGCAGGGGACAAGCCCTCATGGATTTCTTTAATACTAAAGACTTGATAACATTGAACTTAGGTAATAAAGCTACCTTCGTCAATAGAATCAGAGAAGAAGTATTAGATATAACTATATGTTCAGAAGAGCTTATAAACGAAATTCAGGATTGGAGAGTTTCGGACGAGCACTCCTTTTCTGATCATCGGTACATAAGATTCAAAATACTAAGGCCACCACCAAAGCCGATAAAGTTTCGGAATAAGTCTAAAACTAATTGGACAATGTTCGGGGCCTTACTAAAGAACCGTTTAGGTCAGGACACTTTTCAATGTCGAAATAAAGAGGATATAGATGCCAAAGTGGAAACGTTCACAAGTGCCCTGGTTGAATCGTTCGAGGACAGCTGCCCTCTGCGAGAGCGGAGATCTGCCCAGGAAAAACCCTGGGTAACTGGGGAGATCCGGAACCTTGGGAAGACTCTTCGCAAACTATTTAACCGGGCACGGCGTAAAAAGACCGCAGTATACTGGGATGAGTATCGTAATAAACTTGGTGAATATAAGAAAATCGTTCGAAGAGCCAAACGAGACTCCTGGAAACTTTTCTGTGAACAGGTAGATAGCGTAAATGAGGTATCGAAGATAAAAAAATTCCTATCCAAAACTCATGTCCAACCGGAATCTATGATCGATGACACGGGCAGGAGGCTTGAGGATATGGAGGAGACAATGAAACTCCTAATGGATTCTCATTTCCCACCCGGTATATCGAATAACATAGATGAACCGATATTGGAGGAAGGGGAGGGTAACACGGAAATAGTTATTACAACTGACATGGTTAAAGGGGCAATCAAGAGCTTTGCTCCCTATAAAGCTGCAGGGCCGGATGGAATTTTCCCGGCACTTTTGCAGATGGAGGCGGGACTGGTTTCCGTACATCTGTCACAGATATTCACTGCATGCTTAAAATTGGCATATACCCCAGTTAAATGGCAGGATGCAAGGGTAATATTTATACCCAAACCAGGGAAACCTAGCTATGCGACACCTAAGTCCTATCGACCGATAAGTCTTACGTCCTTCCTACTTAAAACCTTGGAACGGATAGTCGATAGCATGGTTAAAAGCAGCATACCATACAATGACCTTAAATATAAGCAGCATGCTTATGTAAAGGGACGATCGGTGGAGACCGCTTTAAATGAAGTTGTCCACTACATAAGTGAATCTTTCGATAGCAAACTGTATACACTGGCAGTATGCATTGACATCGAAGGCGCTTTCAATAACGTGCACACTGATACCCTTATCCAATCCCTAGACCAGTTTTATGTTGACCGGGTGCTCCGTAACTGGATCAACTACATGCTAAGGAACAGATGGATAAGCTGCGAGATGTACGATATAACTATCAGGAAAAAGGTATTTCGCGGTATACCACAGGGTGGCATTTTGTCACCTTTACTCTGGGTCACCACGATTAATAGCCTCCTAAGGACCCTAACCGAGAAAGGACTTAGACCTGTCTGCTATGCAGACGATGTCGTAATACTTTTAAAGGGAAAGGATCCAAATTACTTGTGTAGAAGAGCTGAGGAGGCTCTGAATACGGCCTTGAGCTGGGCTCAACCGAGAGGCCTCAATGTTAACCCGGCGAAGACGGAAATCTGTCTTTTCACAAGAAAGACAAAAATTTCTACATATACTGAACCTTGCTTCTTGGGCAAGAAGATACCGGTGACAGACAAAGTTAAGTACTTAGGTGTAATACTTGACCGGAAATTAAAATGGAGACACCACATAGAGGATAGGATCAACAAGGCACATCGGTGCTGGGCGATATGTAGGAGAACCATAGGCATGAAATGGGGTCTTAGTCCTACTATGACAAATTGGCTTTATAAAAGTGTAATTAGACCAATTCTAGCTTATGCTTCAATAATCTGGTGGACTGCTTTGGACAAAAAGTGTAATATCAAACTACTACAGGGAGTTCAGCGTACATGCTGCTTGGGTATAAGTGGTGCCATGTGTACTACTTCAACCAAGGCTCTGGAAACGTTGCTAGATATTCCACCCATTGAAACATATATAAGATATGAGGCGGCGCTTACAGCCGAACGGCTCTTTACTTTAGGCGAACTGGCCAAAAACGGTTATAGGACACGTCATCAATGTATACTGGACACATTGGAAGATTATACACATTCATCGGACGTGCCTGATCGCATACCAGACACTGAATATGTCGGAAACTTTGAAACGCTAATCCCAGATAGAATGTCTTGGTCAAGCGGAACATTAGAGCAAATACCAGTAGGAATCCGTTGCTACACGGATGGCTCTAAATTAGGGGACAAAGTGGGTCTGGGGTTCTATATTGAAGACCCAGAAACAGAAATATACCACCGTTTACCTAATCATAACACAAGCTTCCAGGCAGAAGTACGAGCAATAACGGAATGTGTAAATTGGATTAGAATAAATATGGCGCCCACAGGGCTTAATATATTTACCGACAGCCAGAAGGCAATTTGTGCGATATCAGGTGATAGAATTAAATCTAAGACCGTATTGGATTGTAAGAAAGCTTTAACTGAATACTCTCCCAGAGGTAAGGTTCACATCATATGGGTACCAGGCCACTCGGGAGTAGCCGGCAACGAAAGGGCGAATGTAATAGCTTTAAAGGGAAGGGAGCTCGATGTAGTTAACCTGACAAACGCAAAACCATTCGACGCAACAAAAGCTGAATTAAAAATATGGATGAGAGAATCCCATAAGGCCTCTTGGAATAATGAAACGGTGGGTAGAACCACAAAGATTCTATGGGGTGACCCTGATGAGAGCAAGACGAGAAATCTTCTCAAAATGAGCAAGTCTGAGGTTAGTATGATGGTACGTATTCTCAGTGGACACACAGGATTACGAGCACATCTATACAAAATTGGACGTGCGAATTCAGACGAATGTAGAGCATGTGGAGAGGACAGTGAAACTCTGGAGCACTTTCTTTGCCATTGTCAGGCATTCGTCGAAGTTAGATCCAAGTATCTTGGAAGTGATGTTATTCCAGAAATAACATTCTTAACCAACACCGATTGGAAGATTCTTAGGAATTACGTCCAGGAAACTGAGTTTCTGAACATGGAAAAATAATACATTCAGTGAACAATTTTTTTTTTTTTTTTTTTCTTGAATTGGAGCGCACAACAGGCCCGATAGTGGCCTAGGTGTATTTCTTCGGATTTGATGTAGTATACATCCTCCTATCAACCTACCTACCTACCTACCTAACAATTTTATCAAACTGTAAATCCCAGAAACAGTTTTAGCACAATATAATTTCAATAATTTTATTTCAATAGCTGCTAAAGTATAAAGCGAAAATTTCCCACCTATTTTAATAATTGATAACAAAAGCAATCTTGAAAAATAATTGATAACAAATAAAATAAGAGCAAATAAATTAAATATAGCGTTCCTTGGTATACAAACAACTGTGTAAACATACACTCAAAAGTGTTAAAACTCTTTTACTTGTGGCACATTTCTTCTTTCTTATCGTACAAAATAAATCTAATTAAAATTTTGAAAATTGTCTGCGTGGCTTATTTGGTATCGTTGAGCTTGTTGTTAGAGTGGGCGTAAAAACTAATATTGTTTTCATTTTTATTTCCATTAGGTTGCCTAATTTAAAAAGGAAATGTTTTCGAATATTCCTTACACAATTTTGTTGGTGAGTTTGGCGGCTCTAGTCTCACAAACATTAGCCACAGCAGACGATGCCGATTCTTGTTATTCATTTGCCGGGGGTTCGGTATATCCAGCTGAGGCGCCCAAGGGTGATCACACTCTGCAAACAACGAAAGCAGTCAGTAAGTAGTTATTTTTAAATTTAATTATGACACCCAAGAAACATAAATTTTATTTTGTTTCAGTTTCAAAACCAGCTCCTCCATTTGAAGGTACTGCCGTAGTTAACAAAGAAATTGTTAAACTATCTTTATCACAGTTTGCTGGCAAATATGTGGTATTGCTCTTCTATCCATTAGATTTGTAAGTAACATCTTTTACCGATTTAGCATAATTTTAAATCCAAAAGAGTGTTCTAATTTTATAGATTAAAATGTTAATTATTTACATTAATTACACAGACCGACAAATTTTTAAAAAGTTGAAACACAGGAATTGACAGTTTTACTGAAAAATCTATTTGATGTCGTGCTTTATTAATAACGTTTTGAATATTTCGAAGAAATCAAATTAGATTTGATCTACATTAAAACATAAAAAAAAACAGTTTCAGCAAAATTTATTGAGATTTACGAAAAAAGTTTGTAAAATTCCTTTGTGTGAAACATGAAAAAAGAAAAACGTAAAAAATTAACTTTTTATCTTTTGACCCATGTCGTTGGGCACATCAGTACCGTAGAACGATCCTAATGTACACATAGTAGAAAAAGAGATTTACGAAATATTAATTTCAGTTAATTGCATTGAATAAGTCTATTGAAAGCCTTTCGCATAATATCAAAATTTTGTAACATTTCTTTGAGTAAAAAATAAAAAAAAAATAGAAAAACGTTAAAAAATTAGCTTTTTGTTATTTTTTTATTTTTATATTTTCAGTACTTTTGTATGCCCAACTGAAATTATCGCTTTCTCCGATCGTATTCAAGAGTTCCATGAAATAAATACCGAAGTTATTGCCTGCAGCGTCGATTCGCATTTCACCCATCTGGCCTGGATTAATACGCCACGCAAAGAGGGTGGTTTGGGCAATGTTAAGATACCTCTTCTTTCCGATTTAACACATAAAATTAGCAAAGATTATGGCGTTTATTTGGATGACTTGGGTCATACATTGCGTGGTCTCTTTATTATTGATCAACGTGGCGTTTTACGTCAAATCACCATGAATGACTTGCCAGTTGGTCGATCTGTTGATGAAACTATAAGATTAGTGCAAGCATTCCAATATACCGATACACATGGAGAAGTATGTCCAGCTGGTTGGAAACCTGGTGCTGATACTGTATGTTGGAGAAACCTTTATGTAATTTTATTTTTTAATACATATTTATTATTATCCATTTCAGATTGTGCCAAATCCCAAAGAAAAAACCAAATACTTTGAGAAAAATAATTAAAACAAAATTTAAATTCCCCATAAACAGCATCATTGTGACAAAAAGCATTTTTGTGCATTTCTTTTAATGTATTTTTTACTGTCTACAAATTTCCTTCTTTTTTAAATAAATTCCTTTGAAATATCATAAATTATCGTACACGTTTAATTTCTTTGGAGCCATGAGAACGACTACCGCCGCCAAGTTCTTTACGTTTTCGCTTATTAAGGGGATTACGTGGATCGTAAACATCGTACCAGTCGTCACCCTTAGTTGAAGCATCTTTTGCCAATATGGGGGCATCATCTTGAAATTTCAAAGTGTGACACAGCCAATCATCGCCTTGTATTTCTTTTTCCACTTCCATCTCATCAATTTTTTCTTCAATCTCTTCATTGTCCTCTTCCTTTTTTTGTTTAATAGCATCCAATTTAGAGCGGAATTTTGAAAGTAGACTTAACGTAAAATCTTCTCGTGATGGTCCTTTTTTAGGTATTTTCGTTTTAAGTTTTTCATACTTTTCCTTTTCTTCTATAAAACTTTTAATAAGTTCATTATCTTCGCCATCCACTGTTTTTCTTTTGGTGTCCTTTTGCATTTTCTTTTCCAATTGTTCGTCTTTAATTTTCTTATCTGTTTGATATTGTTTTTTCAACGAATGTATTTCTTGGCGAATTTCTTCTCTGTAATAAAAAATTAAAAAGTTATATACAGAATATAGGAAATTTTGTTTTGTATACATACTTCTTTTTTTCGCTCTGTTGTTTCTTTTCCTGCTCGTGTGTCAACAGCATGTCATCTTCGGAATCAGAACTTTCTATTTTTATTTCTACAGGTTTTACATGATTTTTAGAGTTCTTGTTTAATTTTGATTTAAGTTTATCCTTAATACGCTGTTTTCTTTCAGCTGACTCGTCTTCATCCAGTCTTTCTTCTTTTATGATTACATGATAATCTTCTGGTTCCGATTCTTCATCGGCTCTTTCAGTTTTTACTTTGATTGGTTCCTTGCTTAACTTTGGATCATCAACTACATCATGAAGTGATTTTGCCTTACCAGCATTCTTTTGCACAAATTCATTTGTTTCAACCTCATCCTCTTCAGCTTCTTCGCCAAATGACAGTAAACCAAAATTTCTAGATAAAAAGAAATACGATTAATGAATGTTTATACATATATTGATAGCTAATCACTTACTTGACACCCTTTTCCTTCTTTTTTTTCTTTTCTTTCTTAACTTCTCTATTCAGTTCTCGGGGTACAATATCATCAAAGGGGTTATTGAGTATTTCGGCTTTTATAATTTTATGTGGATACATGGGCCTTTCATTGTGATCTACTAGTCCTTCCTCCAATTTAAGCATATTGAAAATTGTATCTCCCGTCACTTTGCCGAAAAGGGTATTCTTATTTTGTAGCTCAGGTGTCGGGGCCATAGTGAAAAAGAATTGCGAAGCATTGTCATCCTTATCTGAGTTAGCCATACCCACCAGACCACGCCTGGTATAGCGAAGACGTGAATGAAATTCATCTTTAAATGGATGACCATAAATTGATTCACCACCCGTGCCATCACCATTAGGATCACCACCCTGTACTATGAAATCCTTTACCACTCGATGAAATATTGTGTTATTGTAATAGCCTTCCATACACAACTGTATGAAATTTCTACAGGCCTTAGGGCACTCACGAGACCATAATTCAATGTCAATATCTCCCACGGTGGTTTGGAGAAGAACCTATAAGTCATGTTAATTATTTTTCGAAAATTTTGTGATGCAATGGGAATGTTTTACCTTGCCCGATGTTGGTGGTTCTTGTATGTAAATATTACTCATTTTGTTTTTTAAACTTTATTATTCTTACGTTTTAGGGCTGCAAAATAAACAAATATTTTTCCGCTATTTATCAGAGCCCTGCGCCGACAAATATTAACGGCGGCGGCGACTGACACTAAATATATCGGCGGCGGCTTAAAATCGACTGTAAGCCGGCTAAGTTTTCAACTACGTTTAGTTTTTAAATATTCAACGATTTTGAATAAAAACGGAATCCGAGAGATCAGAAAGTGGGATTTTGAAAGCAAATATATTGTTTATAACAACAAAACAGAGCAGAAAATCAGTTTCTTCCAGAACAACATCAATTAAAGGGATCACAAAGAGATTGAAAAATATTCCAAAAGTTTCACTTTGAAAACATTATTAGAGTGTATGAAAACTCGCAACTCTAAAGGCAGACTATTCCTATTTTAGCGGTAATTTCTTTATGATTAAAATAAGTAAGAAGTAAGAGTTATATTCGGCAAATCATATGTCGTAAAAAAGCAAATTTCGGAAGTGGTCATATACATATATATATGGACTTTGATCATTAGATTAATAAGAACGTCAGCGTGATTTTCGGATTAGGAACTTAAATGTGGAATTGGGTCAATTATGGACCAAGTTCTCTATAATTTAAAGTATTTTTTTTTTTAATTCTACCATAATTCTATCATAAAATGATAACTTTTGGAATGATGTATTAGCTATAAACTGATTTTCTGTAAGAGGGTTATATTGGCGGACCGATCCTCATAATTTAATTTTTCATAAATGTAGGTTTCGGTTCCTAAAAGTGTTTTTTTCGTCGACATCGACATTTGAAAGCCATTTATATGCGTTTAAGTCATTTTCTGAAGAAGATTTCATATGGGTTTAGGGTGAATTATGCTTCGATCGTCATAAAATTTGGTAGACATATTTTCGTTCCAACAAAAATTGTTTTATTATAGTATTATTAAGTACGTAGAAAACGTTAAAATCAATTATTGAAGGGGGCAGTGTCAATTATGGCCTATAGAGATTTCGATTGATATCGAGCCCTTTTTGCAAAATGGACGTAAGCGACATGATTTTCGATTTTAGTTTTTTTATAGAAATCGATAATTAAAGTCTATTAGCATCATCTCTGAAAATTTCGTAGCTATAGATTTAACAGATTCAACTTTACAAGAAAAAGAAAAAAGACGTAAGTACACATACATATATTTTCTGTTTATGAATTTTGGAACAGCAGGCGTCGGTTACGTCTAAATTTTCTTTAAAAATATATTAAATTTATAGGCAAATTTTGAACAAATAAACGTACTAAATTTGTTTGTGAATGAAATGCCACATATTTGGGCTGCTCAAGTCAACAATAATGCGATAATTTGTTAAAAAAATATACATACATACATATGTATATAATATGTAATAAGGCCCGGTAACTTATCAAACTTTAATCAGAAATTAAGTGTATAATCATTGGTTATTTAATAATTACAGTAACTTATCAAATGTTAATCTATGATTTTTCTAAATCATTGATTAAAATTAAACATAGAAATTTCTGTGTTTAAAAATTTAAACTATGTTTGACAATCATTTTTTATTAAAAATAAATGTAAAAATGCATTAAAATTTCAGTTATTTTTAACAAAAATGAAGATAGAAGAGTTTCTTACAATTCGGATGCTAGTATGCTGTTGTTTTGAGTGAAAATTTGTCATAAATCTTCAAAAAAGTAAAAAATAACTTTTAAAACAAGGTCAAGCTCCCCTCCAACTCGTCTTATCCATTGAAATATTGAGTCCTTATCATCTTTTTATCAATAGTGCCTAGAAAAAAGAGGTATAAGTGAAAACTACACAACAAGATTTGGTAAAATGCTGTTTATATTGCCAGAAAACTGGCAATATACATATACCTCCGAATTTATTTACAAATAAGACTCACACATATTTTTTTGAAGCTGCCGAATTTCGTAGTGATAAGTCCATAATTGACCATAGCCCCCAGCACAAATCACCTCACATTTTATGTGTATAGGTCCATATTTGACCTATAACTCCCATACAAAGTCCCTTTCAGAAACTCAGCTTGTAGTTAATAAATATGATAAATATCTAGGAATTGAGGTAAAATCCTACAGAAGTGGTAAACAATGAAACCGATTGTATTGTATAAAAAGATCTTAAATATATTAATAACTGCTGTACGGTATTATATGACGGGCATGACTGATTATACTTTCTTTCTTGTTTATAATATAGTTGATTTTGTTACCTTTTTTTAAATATTTAGCCAATTTCGAAACCTTTTTATGAAAAAGTAAATTTTTGTACCATTCTCTAAAATGTTTTGTAAATCATAGTTTAAATTCAAATAAGTTATCTAGATTAATTTCTAAAAGTTTAAGTATTAAACAATGATTTCTAAATCATTGATTATAGAAATTTAAACATTGGAGATAAGTTACCGGGCCTAAGAATCATATTTCATTCATTTTGTACACAGAAAAAAATAATTTTAAAAAATTTTCAATTAAACGATTAATCGAAAATTTTAAAAGGGTTCAATTCATTTTGTATTTGAATCATAAAAATGTGTAATCAAATACGTATTTAAAAAAAAAAAAGTTGCACAAAAAGGGTATTTTTCTCAAAAAGTCGCACTGAAAGGGGATTTTTAACACAAAAAGTGTCAACGTAGGCAAAATCATTTCATTTGTATTTAAATGTGCATTAAATTAGTAAATAATTAACCATATTTAATAATTAACCATATTTTAATTAGCATAAAATTATAATAATAATGCTCAGATGTAAAATAAAAATTCTGTCGATGCACCCACTATCAAATAATTTACCCCATCTTCTGCATTTATCGTTGTAATATCTTTCCGAAATAGAATAAACGGAGGCTGAGAAGAGACATAAATTTGTATTAAATCAACGATTTTTATATTTTTTAAATCGTTCTTTAGCTGTCAGCTCTAAGGTTTCAGCGTATTAAGGACATTCATAAAATATTTTTCCAGTTAGACGATTCACCAATTTTGAATATCAAATACTGGGGGTTTACTCTGTAACTCGATTCGAATGAACAAATTTTCGAATTTGTATGTTAAATACATTGTGTTACGAAAGACCTTTTGAATCGAAATACAGAGTAAACTCCTTGATCAACTCAGAATATGTTTGAAAATTCCACTTACCATGCTCACTATTTGTGGGCCCAGTCATGCCTAGAACAGTCAAATATACAGAAATAGATTTACATATATAAAAGCCTACATAAAATCGTTGAGCGTCTTCTACATGTAAGAACATATATTGCTATAAAATTTATGCGCTCATATCTTAACCGCAAATTACAAGATAATTTTATAAAATTTGGCACATCTTGGACCAATAAATAAATTTTAAGCGATTTTCGGAATTTAATCCTATATTTGACTAGGATTTAATCAATAATACTGAATTTCATTATCGTATATCAATAGTTTCATGAACATCAATACTATTTTCGGAATAGTGCATTCAATGGGGTAAGAACATTTATAGACCGATCCACATAAACATTGGTAGAAATATTTTGGTTTCTTTAAAATTTATTTATCCCGAATTTCATAGGTATAACAACACTTTTAAATCTGTAATGAGTGTTAAAGTTATTTTCTGTAGGAGATGAAGATCATATGGGTGTAGTGTCAACTATAAACCAATCTTCATAAAATTTGGTAAAAAGATTAATTTGTTTATTTTTTATGGGTTAATTATATCTAGATCCTCATAAAATTTAGTATGCAGTTTTCAGATTCTATAGAAGTTAAAGACTGTTATGAGCGTTAAACTTATATTTTGAAGAGGACCGTCTAAAGGGAAAAAGGTCAATTATGGACGGATTCTTATTAAAACTTAACTAAAATATTTCGGTTAATATAAAATGAGTTTTTGTCGAATTTCATTGCTGTACTTGTTTTTCTGGGGGATATACATTTTTAAAGAAAGATACATATAAACAGGTTTACCAAGCCAGTATTTAGCATTAAAGTAATTTTTTGAAGCGGACCCTAAATATGGGAATTGGGTCAAATATGTTCCGATCCTTATACATTTTTGAACAAAGATTTCGGTTTTTATCAAACTAGTTCCGTTATCCGTTATCTCAATCTCCGGTTATCGTTTAACCTCTAGATATTCTGCCGGTTAAAAATATATTTGTATGAAAACTGTCAATGTATCGTTCCGATAAAATATAACTAGACATTGAGAAAGTGGGGTATCTATGTCTGTTAAAGTTGTTTTTCGGAGGGCACTTGTATGGAGGCTATGCGAAAAAGTTGGCTAATATTGTCCATTATCAATACTAAACAAGCCCAACATATAGGATATATATGTGTAAAATTGCTCTAGCTTTTTTCGTTCGGTCTCGATCATGCTTTCAACAGACAGACAGACGGACATGGCTAGATAGTCTTAGAATTCAATAGGACCCAGAATATATATGTATGTATACTTTTGTGGATATACTTCGATGTGTTACAAACGGAATGACAAAAACAATCCCCATCTTTTTTATGGTGGGTATAAGAACACAAAAATGTGTTTTATTCAAAAAGGGGCAAAAAGTGGCAAAAAACGAAAGAAGTCGTAAATTTAGTTCATTTTGACAAGGGGTCATAAAAAGTGGCAAAGCACTCGAAAAAGGGTCAAATTGCGACTTTAGTCTCACAACGGTAACGCTGATTATAAGTCATAGAAAAGGTATACATAGAACTGAAACTGAGTATAACAAAACCTAAGTCTGCTGTCAAAAACCTAAGTCGTGAGAATGTATTAGTTGAAAAATATGTAACCCAACAAACACAAACTCTTTCGTTTAAAAAGTTTTTATATTTTTGTTTGATATTATATTTCGATATTTTATGAAATAATGGTTTGAATTAGCCATTTTTATTCAATATCAGTTGACCAATGTAAGAAAGATCTTCATTAAAAATTATTTTTAATTTTAAATAAACTCTTTGTGGTTGCTGGGTTGAGTCAATATTGACACTTGAAAATAATATTAAAAAATAAAAACGATTGAAAAATTTGTTTTTTTTTTTCTGAAAATGTTTTCAATAA